GAGAGGAAGGAAAGGAAGGCGATGGAGTGAACAAGGGCATCGCCCTGCTTTACCCATCCATCCCCACGACTCCCTCACCTCTCCTCTGCTCCGAAGCTGAATTCCAAGAGCTCTTAACCTGCATCGAGACTTCCACTAACGAGGATGCCATCGCCATGGTGCTCCTGCTGCTGCTGGAAGAGCAGCGCGCCGCCAAAGAAACCTCCTTCTTCCTGAAGCGCCTGCGGGTGATTCGCTCCGAGTACCTGCTTCGCCACCACTCCCTCGTGCGTTCTATCGAGCTCAACCTCCACCGGGACATCGCAGACAACAACGCGATCCGCCAGCAGGAGATCCAACGGCTGAGGCGCGTCTGCATGGCCGGCATGACAGCTGGCGCCACGCTCTCGCAGCACCAGATGGTCTACCGGAGGCTGTGGACGCGGCCGCGCTCCCGCGCGTGGTGGGAGGAGTGTATTGACCCAAATTACCCCCCGGAAACGTTCCGAAAGACGTTCAGGATGAGCCGAGAGACCTTCATGGAGCTCTGTGACATTCTGGGGCCGCTGATTGTGAAACGATCTACCAGAATCAGGGAAGCGATTCCTGTGGACATCAGGATTGGAGCGTCGCTCTGGCGCCTGGCCACTGCCGAGCCTCTCCATTTGATCTCCAGGAGGTTCGGGCTCGGCCAGACCACCGTGCATTTCGTCTCAAATGACGTTCTCAAGGCGCTGAACGAAGTTGTTCTGCCCAAGGTGGTTGTCTGGCCTGAGCCGGGCAGCACCCGGGCAAGTGAAATTTCTTCCCAGTTTCTGGACCTGTGCGGGCTGGACCACGCTTCGTCTGTGGCACAGCAGCTGGGAAACGGGAAGCTGATTGCAACTCTCTACACAACCCACCTGCCCATCAACACGCCACGGTCCAACCTTGCAAAGTACCACAACAAGCAGCACACAGAGCGATTCGCCCGCCCCTCCTACTCTATAGCCATGCAAACAGCCATTGATGCCAACGGGCAGTTTTTGGATCTTTGCATCGGGCTGCCCGGCGCGCTTTCTGATGAGGAGGTGTTGCAGCAGTCGACCCTCCACCAGAAAGGACAAGCTGGGGAGCTTCAGGGAGCCAAGGTCATTGGGTTACGGTCGTACCCGCTTCTGGATTGGCTGCTGGTTCCGTACCCCCATTCAGACAGCGCCACGTGGTATCAGACCACGTTCAACGAGTGCATAGAGAAGGGCACTGCGGTGGGGAAGGACGCGATTGGCCGGCTGAAGGGACGGTGGCGGATCCTGCTTCGGCGGGCTGAGGGGAAGCTGCATGAGCTGCCGCGGTTGGTGGGGGCGTGCTGTGCACTGCACAACTTTCTGGAGCAGAAGGGAGAGGCGTTTGACCCTGACTGGGCGTATGAGGCGTTTGATGACTACGTGCCCGCCAGGCGAGCCGATGACGAGTCCCCTGCTGCCGTGGCCGAGAGGGATGAGTTGGCCCAGGGGATGTTCCAGGCAGTGCACGGGTGGGAGGGCGACGCTGCCAATGCGCTGTGAGGTGAAGCCCTGGAAAGTGGTGGCTCATATGGGGGGTTTCAGGGTAGTGATTTCAGGGAGGGGGAGAGGGGATAAGTGGGGAAGGTTGGGGGACAAAGATGATCCTGTGCTGCTGTGTCATCACATGAGCTGATCAGTAGAATGCTATCTGAGGTAAGATTATGAACAGAGTGGAAATATTGGGTTAGTCTCTCTGTTACCCTTTTTTTTTAGTCAAACCCCTTTTTTTTCTCTATTTCTTGTTTATGGATTTGCAAGCTTCACAGAAGTCCATCTTGTCCTAGTTGACGCTTATATTTCACTGACAGACCGACACTGTACATGTATGCGTGTTACAATAAACCACCACAACTCAAAACATTTTGCAAGGAGAATCAACTTCTGCCGCCTGAGCCTGCTGCTCCTTGCTTGAGCTGAGACAGCACCAGCAACAAGGGGTGAGGGGCGGCGGGGGAGGGGGGTTGTCAGGAGGTCGTGGCGGGAATTCACAGCAAACAGGCAGACATGGGTGAGGGAAAATAAGTAGGGGAACGGACGATGGGAGGATGGGAGGAAGGGTTGAAGGGATGGAGGGAGTGGAAGATAAGGAGGGAGGAGGGACGGAGGGAGGGAGGGAGGGAGAGAGAGAGATGGAATAGAAACGCTGTGCCAAAGGCTGCTGGTAGGTACCTGTTCACTGAATTCTTTGACCTGCTCCATCAACGACTGCCGCTGCGCCACACCTGAAACGCGAACACGATGATCGACAACGCAAAAGCTACATGAGAAACTTCCCCCCAGAAATCTTCAACCTGGATGAAAGATTAAGAATGCTGACGGATCTGCGACCTACCCTTCTGTGCTAGCTCCTGCAGCTTCTTGTTGGATCGGACAGCAAACCGTTGAAAGGTAGGGCTGTTCGCTAATCGATCGACGATCAGCTCGTTTGCGACGTACTGGATCACACGCTGCAGCCACGGGCCTCCCGCCACCATGATTGGATGTGGACTAATATTGACGTGACCAACACGCTACGCTGGTATTGAACAATCTAGGCACGCAAAACGCTCTAGCCTTTGCTGACACCAAGCGCAATCAAAGTTTGCGTAATATACTTCTGTGAAGCTAGCGACCGTGCGTATTGTGGAAACAGAAATGAGGTCGCAGCTATGAGACCCACGGAGCTGCGACGGATGAAGTGGAGGTGACGGAGAAAGCTTCCAGAAATACTGGAATGCTTCCAGAACCAGAGGTGGGGCTGTGCCGTTGTGAAGAAAGGGATGGTGGGTTGGTGGCGGGCAACAAAGTGTGTATTTGAAGAAACAAAATATTTTTCATGCGGTGGCAAAACTACGTGCTTTTCCAGCGACCACTCTGCTTGTGGTGTGTACAATAGAGGGTTGCTGCAAAACAGAGGGGAGCCATAGAAACATTTTTGTTTTCCCCAACACCCCAACCCACCTAACCCAACCCAACCCAGCAGATTGATTCAGCACAGGTGAAGCGGGCACTTGCCAACGCGACTGCTTCCCACCCAACCTTTCAACAGCAACCCTGGTTTCTTCCGAGAGTTCATAACTAGTTTCAGCACTAGTCACCATTTCACACCTACTACGCTCCTGCTGTTGTCATGGCCGCTCCCGAGAAAGGTCTGGTGGCTCACGCAGCTGCACTGAGAGCAGCCCTTGCAAACTCCCAGGACGTGACGGACAACATGATATTTACCTTAGACTCATTCGACGAGCGGCTATCGGAGTTGGAGCGTGGAATTAGACCAGTGCAGGTGGAGTGTTGACGAATTTGTACGTGCTTATGAATGTCTGTGGTTGCTAACGCGGTCTTCGTGCAGGCATCCACAAGACATCACCAAATCATTCACAGTAACGTGACCAAGGCGCTTGACGCAGCAACCTTCATGATCGAGCAATACGAGAAGTTTCGAGAGGTAAGTTGGGCACAGCTTCTGGTGTTCCCGACCAACTCTTATGTATGCCTCTTCAACCAGGTCGCGAGAATAATTGAGGATGGCGGTTCAAGAGATTTAATTAAGTACAGGCAAGCTTTAGACCGATTGGCTGGCATTATCGCATTCTTCGAGCGACACGCAGAACAAGAAGATGCTTCGCATGCGCTGTTCTGCGCGAAGAAGCTCATTCAAGAAGGAATACGGAACATGAAAGATGCTCTCAGAAAGGAACTTCTAGAACTGTAGGTCACTCTTTCCGTCGACATGCTGTTCCCCCGGCACTGGCGTTATCCAATTTTCGTTACTTCCTCTCCTCGTCGACCAGCATCTGGGTTGCCTGGATGTGTGGATTACCCACCTTGGTTGCTTTAGCAGGAACGATATTGACATTTCCGACGACGTAAGGGGAATCGACGGGAGTTCGGCTCTTGTCTCTCGCCTTGTTGGTTTGGTGCAAGCACTAGTGAAGCTGGGCTTTGCGGAAGACTGCGTCAAGATCTATGTGTAAGTCCAATACTGTGTTTCTGTGATAAAGTATGCCAGAAGCATATTGGACTCTGGGACTCACAGAGGTTACGAGCAGGGATGTGAGGAGAACGTGTGTTGAAGAGTTCCTACAACGTTCTCAGATTGACTGGAAGTCATTGAAAATAGTTGATCCTACTTCTTTGAAGTGGAAGGACATGGAAGGGAAACTTCAGACTTGGATGCACATGTCAGCTGTGTTGGTCAGTATCAGCAGCACCTTAACATCGTGATTTTTCTTAGTTTTATGCTTGACTTCCTTTATATGCGTGACAGACAAGCACAGTGATGAGCACTGAGGGCCTCTTAGCAATGAGAATATTCAAAGGCATGGATGTCTTGGGGGCGAGGGCTAAGACTGGGGCTTTGACTTACATCATGAAGATTCTTGTTGACACTGGGGTTACCTTCACCAGTGTTCTAAAGTCACCTGAAAAGTTGTTTGCGACTCTTGACATGTATGAGGCCGCAGAAGAACTTTTGACACAGGTGAGAGACCTTGCCCAACTTTATTGTATTTTGCTTTTATGAGGAATCTAAGCTGGTACACAAATACTTAAGGTCACACTGGAGAAATGGGATGACATTGTAAAGCGAGTTTCTTCGCTTAAGGAGAAGTTATGCCTGGTGACTGTTCAAACCATTCATCAGCTCGAAGCAGCGATTGATAATGATGACAGCAAGCAGCTTCTGAATGGCACGGTTCACCCTCTAACCAGCTACGTAATTAACTACCTGAAGTGCTGTCACGAGTAAGTCGTCAACAGGCCAGCCGTTTTTACCAACCATTTTAAGAGTTTTGCATGTAATCAACGTTTGTTCAACTGCAGGCGCTCTTCAGTTTTAGAGCGGATGTCTTTGGAAGTGGAGAGAGGACCTGGTTCGTTTTCACTGCTTACCCACTCGATACTTGAGATGTTGCTGAAGAACTTGGATAAGAAATCTAAACAGTACAAGGATCCCAGCTTGGGATGCGTTTTTATGATGAATAATGTTCATCACATTGTGCACCAAATCCAGAGGTGGGTCTTTGTGGGAATTTTTCTGTTAAAATTGGTATTGTTCTTTTTGTTAAGTAAGAAATGTCTAAACTGCCAACTGCGTTTGGCATCCAGGTGCGAGCTTAAGGAAGTTCTTGGGGAGGTATGGGCTCAACAACAAAAGATATATGTTCAGCAGGCGGCTTCAGCCTACAGACGTGCTGCTTGGGGCAAGGTAATTGAAGGTGCTCTTAAACTGCTGTGATTGCATATTGATCATTAACGAAGTGCAGGTGTTCAGCCTATTATCTCTCAGTGGAGAAGCAGCTGGAGCAGTGCAAGCAGACGTGCAGTCGCTCAGCAAAGGCACTATAAAAGAGAGGTATGGCACATCACGTTTACTGGATACATCTGGGTAGCTCCTTGTATTCTTACACCATGAAGGTTGTCATTGCAGACTCAAGTTGTTCAACACCACATTTGAGGAGCTTATTGCAAAGCAGCGTCTTTGGGCTATTCCTGATGCAGAGCTTCGCACATCAGCCCAGCTTCTTGTTGGAGAACTGGTTGTCCCAGCTTATCGGTCGTTTCTCTTCCATGCGAGGTCTGGATTCTGGATCCTGTCAGTTGTTTCCATTGAAGGCTGCTGTCTAAGCTCCTGATCTTTCAATTTTGGTTGAATATCAACTTTACCTGGTCATGTGTGCAGGTCCAAATTGGATCATCAAGGTCGTCAATTCCCTGGTTCCAAGGACTTTCTGGTCAAGCATAAGTACAGCCTGGAAGAAGTAGAGAGCATGATTGGTGAACTTTTTCAAGGGCACTCTGAGCACCTTGCAGGCACGTGATATTGGAAAAGAGGTTCTAATCAGATATAAACCATTTGAAGGCATTCCAAGGTGTGTGTGAGTTCATTCATGCAACCACAGAAGAGTCCAGGCTGGACCACCTCAATGGACAACTAAAACTGTGACAGCTCCTTTATGTGCTTTACGTTCTATGTAGTGGCCTGCCTGTCCTTATGTAGGTGTGTAAGGAAATTCCCTTTTCCTTACTTCGCATCTCTGCTCAACGCGTACATCACTGTAGCACCTCAGTCAGCACCGTTACCACTCACAACCATCGCATCATTCATCATCCCGCCATTTTCGCACATCGCATCCCGACCTCACGGCTCGGCTGGTAACCCGCGCTCCGGGCCTACGCTTCGACACGTTCCCAACCTCAGTCCCAGGCTCGTCGCGCGACCATTACCGTTACCACTGTAGTTTCGCTATATATTCTTCGCTCATACCTTCGCTCATTGTACTCTTGCTTCGATAGTGCAATTCTCGCTCGTTCACTCAATTGCACTCGTAACACTTGGTATTCAGAGCCTACGATCCCATCTCGGACCGCATCCACACCTTCACTTCCCCACTATCTCAATTTTTGGGGGGGGTAGACGTCTCTCAGCGATACAGCACCGCCGCTCGTAGTGCTCTCTCGCAAGCACGCACGGCCACGACCGAGGCTCTCGCTGAGCTTGCCCGACACCCCCGCCATGGCCGATTTCACGCTCGCCACATTGACGCAGGAGCAACTTGATCGTCTCGTGCGTCAACTGGAGGATTCGGCGCTTGAAATCGCGACCCTCACGGCGGAACGTGACTCCGCCCGTCAACAATCCACGATGAACGTACCGACGACATCCCACGCACCAACAAACGCATCTGCACGTTCGGATGAGCCGATCATCATCTCGTCCGGCACACCAACACAACACGACAGCACGGGACAACGCTCAGGCGCAGCCAGTGAGGGCGTCGCCCAGCCGATGCCTGGCATGGGAGGAAACAGGATCGCACCAAGCCCACGGGAGCCTCGAGAAGTCCGTCGGCACGTGGAATTTGCGGCGACAAGTGGCGAACAACCCAACATGGCACCAATGCCGCTCAAGCCGCAACGCCCGCCCTGCTTCGACCCAAGTCAACGCGGCGGTCCGACAGTTCAATCGTGGGTCTTCACGATGAACGTTTTCTTCGACGCCAATTACGTCGAGTCAGACGCCGCAAAGATCTGGTATGCGGTTTCACTGCTAAGAGGCCCCGCCATGGACTGGTGGCGAGTCATCGTGACGTCGCCACGCGCCTACGAGCCACCGTCGCACGAGGAAGGGCCCTCGGGTCCACCTGTCACCTGGAGTTCGTTCTGCGAGACCGCCCAATACAGCACGTGGGATGCGTGGTGCGCAGGGCTTCGGGCGCGCTTTGAGCCGATCGCGGCTTCAATTTCGGCGCGTCAGAAACTGCGCACTTGGCGCCATCTCGGGTCAGTTCAAGACTATACCAGCGGTTTTCTCGCACTTTGCGAGCAGGTCGGCTACATGCACGAAGCGGAGCGGGTGGACCGTTACGTCGGAGGGCTGAAGCCGGACATCTCGCACGAGATAATGCTGCGCGGACTCTCTAACTTCAACGAGATTCTCGCGCTCGCCGAGAAGATCGACATTCTACGCCGACCGAGACCGGGGTCCTATTACGGA